TGGTGTGGGCTGGAAAAGCCATTAAGTTCTCAGAGCTTCAAGTATTATGGTGGAAACTAGGGAGACAATGTTGAAAGTAGTGCTGATTAAGGAGGCCTGGTATGCACTTCAAATGGAAGGTAAAAGTCAAACTCAGTGAGTCCATTGAAGCCATTTGAGTGATATTTTGTACTAAGACTCTGTGGTTTCTGGTCAAATGGGGCTGATGAATCAGCTTCTGTGATTAATAAGAGATCAGCAGCAGCGCTGACTTGCCTGGGAACATTGATGCTGATCAGCTGGAGTTGCGAAAGAAACTGTTATTAAGAAGAGGCCAGAATCATCTGTTAAAATCCGGAGTATTTACTCAGGGTTAGCATCTAGAGGCTGTGGTCCAGACAGGGAGTCAAGGTATCTCATGCCGGTTACATGTAAGAATCTCTGTGTCCATCTTTAAGTCATGAAGAGGTCATGGAGACCACCTGATCTTTTGCAACTGTGAGAAGCTAGGAGAGCCACTGGTGAAGGTGCAGGCTGTGGAGATATTAGCATGCTGGAAATTGCCATTTTGGTGACATGACCACCAGGAATAGCGATGGAATGGAACCATACTGAGCGTATGAGACTATGTTTATGGTGTGTGGGAGGCAGAGTCTGAGAACTGGAGCTGCCCAACCACTTTTGAGCCCAGAAGATTTTGAGGAAATTCAAAATGTGACCATTTAGCTATGGAATTTAATTTACACAGTCAGACTTTGGTTTTTGTTTGGCTCAGATTGTGTCTCTCTTCTGCTTTTTCCTTCTTGGAATAAGAAAAATGTGATTTATTTTTTATCTCACAGGGTTCCACTGTTAATATTAATATTTTGAATTTTTAGAGAGACTTTGAGCACTTACAAATCTGCTTATTTTAAAGAGACTGAACTTTGCTTATGAGACTGAAAATTTAAGTGTTTGAATTTTAACTTTTAAATGCTTGAATTTTAAGGACCATAGGACTTTTAAAAGTTGAAAGGTATTTTATAATGTGATACTGATATTAATATGAAATATTGGGGATAAGCAATAAAGGAGAGTTTATGGTTTAATAGCAATACAATGGTGTGTGAAGTTGATGAAATGTCAGTAGTCCTGGGTAGTTTGTAAATTTGATACAAGATAAAGATTTCTGGGAAGAAGAACCTTAACTGAGAAAATACCTCTAGCATGTTTCCTATAAGCAGGTATGCATGGCATTTTCTTAATTAATACCTAATATTGAAGGGCCCAGCCTGACAGAGGTGGTGCCACCCCTAGGCAGGTGGTATTGAGTGCATAAGAAACCAGGCTAAGCCAGACTTGGAGAGTAAGGCAATAAGCAGCATTTTGGGCCATGTGCTTTAGTTCTTACCTCCAGGTTCCTGCCTTGAGTTTCTACCCTGACGTCTCTCAGTTATGAACTATGACCTCAGATGTATAAGCCAAATAAATCATTTCTTCCCATTTAGTTATCATGTTTACCACACCAATAGAAACTCTGCCAACTATTTTATTCTCTCAAAATTATCTGTCCTACATTATCATGTGGCAATAATCATGGTGGCTGGTTTATGCCAACATGTTACACATACTGGTATGATACCAAACTGTGACATCACTGGGAGTAATTTTTTAGTTTTATGATAATTTTTTAGAACCACTATTGAGTACATGCTATGCTGTTGACTGACACACTGCTACGCAGTGTATGACTATGGTAGGAGAACATGGGAGATGTCTAGCATGTGATGATTTGACCTCTGAAATGTCTTGGATCACTCACTTTAATCTCAGCATCCAGGAGGCCAGTGTTAGCCTGGTCTACATATTGAATTCCAAGACAGATGCCACTACATTAAACAGACCCGTTTTAAAATAAGCATTCTATGGGACTGAAGTAGGGTGATCATGAGTTCATGAGGCAAGCCTGGAATATAACATAACCAAAGGACAAAAGGATCCTAAATTGCATACTCTATAATGAAAATATATTGTTTGTGTACATAGTGTAGAATGCCAGGTAAAATATTGCTAGAATATTGCCTGTGATAAGATTCTGTGTTTCTTTCTTTTTTACACATACTTTTATATTATATTTTCTAATAGTCTATAATAAGTCTTTTTAATCATCAAATATTCACTGAACAGAAAAGTGATTTATAAGTAGTCTGTTATTTCTTACATAGTAGAAATTAGTTAATGGTTTAAAGCCACTATGGTTTGTTGAAAATAATATTCATAAGCAACTTTTCAAGTATGTATCTGTTGCCTATAGCAAATGTAACTTTTTCTTTTATAAATTCAATACATAATCATATTATAACCTCCTCTGGCTCATCGAAATTGTGCAATGATGTCAGGGTTTCATCAAACCCTATGTAAACCAGTAGAGCTGGACTTTCACAAAATTAAGCAATGAATGAGTCTGCGGTACCATCCCATATGGTGATCATCTAGGGAAATAAAGCCCTAGTCTATGGAGGGTGGCTTGGTAGAAATTTGGTTGAGGGATAGAACATGGTAGCCCAGCCTAATTTGGAGAGTTGAGAAGAGTTCTCTGGGGAAGTGTCCTGAATTACTGACAAATGGATTACAAAAAGGTTTCTTCCAGGCAATGATATAGAGGTGAAGGGTTATAGAACTGAGCAATGCAGGTAGGAACAAGGCAGGAAAGGCTTGGGCATGTCAATGAGCCACAAGCTGTCACTGAGCATGTGGTGACCTTAACAGGGGAGCGGAGAACAGGGCAAGATGAGGGCAGCTCCTTTGTCATATGGTGAATGGCAGGTGATTTTAATTTAATCTACAGTGCTTTATTTTATGCATAATGTTTCCCACTTAAATCAAAGCCACACTTAAAACAATGCAGCTTGAGCATTCAAATGAACCAAGGACTGGCAGGCTCAGCATCCAAAAAGAAACCGAGTGACAACAAAAAGAAATCAGGCTCAATAGAAGCGACAGTTTTAATAAAATGGGAGTCCGTAAATGTGGAAGTTTCTTATTCTAGGATGTGTGAGCAAGGCCATGAGAAAGATAAAGAACGAAGAAAACGAGCATGAACATTTTACAGCTGGTAATATTGTTTGGAACTGAATTTCAAGGAAAATGTAATTGCTGTGTCTGGTAACCTTGACTGCAGTGATGATGGTAATTCATGCAGAGGAGCCGTCTCTAGACTTGTCACAGACAAAGGATCATTTATTCACATTATACTGGATATTTTTGATGAACCTGGATGGGTCTTGAATTTTCTTTGAAAAAATGTATTAGTTCATTGAGAATTTCATGACATTTATTTTGATCACATTCACTTCATCCTCCATTTCCTCCCAGGTCCATCCCCTTCCCAAGAAACCCAACTCCTCTCAGCTCCTCCTCTTTCCACAACTCCTCCTGTGTCCTCTTCTGCCCTTATCCCTGAGGCTTGGCAGGGTATGGTGTGGTATAGATGTCCTATTCAGGGATGAGCACTCTATAGTCTCTCATTCGATTCACCTTGATTAGGTGTGTTAATTTCCACCTACTGCAAACAAGATTTTTTGAGGAGAATTGAGAGATGCATTGTAGGTATAAAGATATGTCATAAAGAGGTAGTTTGATACATCCATTGTTAGCAAAGTAACAGTAGTAGGTTCTCTGACAGGGCCTACATCCTGTCTGGCTATAGAGTCTTGGCTGATGATGGTATCAGGTATGGATTTTATCTTGTGGAAAGCAATTGGTTACTTCCATGATGTTTATATCACTATTACACCAGAGGGGATGTCTTACTACTCCAGTTGTTATTGTGGCTTGCAGGGTTCATAGCTGGGCAAGATTAAGGATTACATTTTGTCTTCTGGTAGAGTGCATAGCACCTTCCGATACCAAGAAATCTAGCAAGTTAGGATGAAGTTTTTAGGTTAATAACAGCTTTATGTACCCATGGTCTATGGTTTTAGTATGTGACATCTTCAGAAGCAGGGACCTACAGTCAAGTTTTGTAGGGTAACCAACAGCATTGTCAATAGCCAGGAATGTGTGTGCTCATATATATGTATATGTATTTAATTTATATACACATATACATTCATATAGGTTAAATGTATATGTATGTTTATACACATACATATATTCATGCATATAGTCTAGGTACATACATGCATACATGTATCTGAAAACCTCGAAGTAATAGGTTTTTATATGACTCTTTTGAAAGGTCTATAGTATTAGTTATCCATCCCCATATTCCTCCCCTTCTCTGCTGGCCTTCTTCCCATCCTCTAACCCCATTTAACCTTCCTTGTTCCATTATTCCTCTTTAACCCCATGTGACACTGCATTCCATCTTCTCTCCATGGAGAGGCCTCACATGGCCCTTTGTATTCTAAATAAAACATGCATATCTAACGATTCATAGCTAGCATCCATTAGCTAGAGAAAGAAGTGACATTAACCTTTCTGTGTCTCGGCTACCTCACTCAGAATGAATATTGCTAGCTTCATCTATTTACCTTTAAATTTTATAATATCATTTTTCTTAAAAGCTGAATAATACCTCATTGTGTAAATGTACTAAATCCTTATCATTTTTTCATCTGCTGATGGTTTTCTAGACTGTTTTCATTTTTTGACTTTTTTTGTGATAAAGCAACAATGAACACTGATGAGTAGGACATGGAGACCTATGAGTATCTGCCCAGGACTGTGTAGCTAGACCATGTGGTAGATCTACCTCTAGTTCTTCAAGGAATATCCACATTGGCTCTCATAGTACTCTACCAGTTTCCACTTCCACTGGTGATGACACTCACCAAATCCCATATTGCAGTCCATCATGGACTTTCCAGTCTGACATATAATGTGAAGATACAGGTGCCTGCCATGTGGGTCACCCTGAAGCAGCCTTCCAGAGATGGCCACCTTCTCATTACCCACATCTCAAATTTCCAAGCAATCTATGTACTAAAGAAGTCACAAATTAAGATCTATGTTCAGAATTTAGGCTTCTGTAATTTTCGGAAGTAATTTTCAGTTTATTACAGAAATTTCTCAGTACTTTTGTCTATAAACAAAGAATAGTTTGGAAGAAATGTATATTTACAGTCCATTGTTTGAAAAAGTTTCTTAGTGGAAAAACAAAGTATAAGCTTTCTAATGCTGTTTTAAATCAAATGTGCCTCACAAGAAGTCTGGAGAATGGAAATCTGGATATCCTTAAGGTCTTTAAGGTAATGATTTAGAGGCCCAGGATTCAATGGAGGCAGGCTTTGTGTTGGAGGTACATATTGCAAATGATTTTCAGGGAAAGTTTTGTGCTGGATCAATAGGTCAGATATCTTGATGCTGCAAGTTTGGAGAAAAATGTATTTGAGATATAGAGCCAAGGAAACTCAAATCATGAGGCAAAGTGCAAGCTCTTCACAAAATCATAGTAGTGAATACAATATGTAAAATGTAGTAATCGATGCAAAAAGGTGAAAATGATTCAGGCTATGTCACAACTGAGGGACTAAGGTAGCCAGCTGGCCTTTTGTTGGTGATCTTACTTGTCTTGTACCTTCTGAAACTTCAGCATGACTTTATTGACTCCAGTGACATTATTGTCGCAGATAAAATGTCATACATTTTGAGTCTATAAGTACTTGATCAGAGACTTGGCAGAAGGAATTCAAATACAGTTGCAACTCAGTATTCAGAGGCTTCCTTCCCACTGAAGAAAGACATGTCCAGCCTTAGATTGTGGTCACTGATTTAAATGATTTATATCAATGTCACTGCTGTGCTGTTGGGATATGTCATTTCCATAAATGAATCCCATTATGTCATGTCTGTTTGTAGACTGTCTTGGCTTGCTACCTTCATGGATTTTTAAAAAGAACAACTTGAAATGTCTTCAGCACTTCGCCTTTTAGGTTTTATGTTATCAGGATCTGGAATGGTAGAACAGCTGACATGGTTTTTATTACTTTGTTCTTTGCAAAGACTGGATTTTTTTTTTTTTTGCACATTAGTTTTCTACTTCCAGAATTTTGATGAGCTTGAACACTGTAATTAGAAATGCAAAATGAAAGTTACTTCAGTGAGTTTGCTAAAAATGTATGTCTTTAATGTCAGGAAATCTTACCCCTATCGTGGGCACAGACATCTAAATCAAAGGTCCAACTAAGTAGTATGGAAAAGGGTAGTGAAGGGTATGAACAATGGCCCAAGAAATAGCCTATTACCCAAGGTGACTTCCATTAAAGAAGTATGCATTGATGGATTAAGAACATACAAACCTGCAAGTCTTTTAAATTCTGCAGCTATGATGTAAGAGGGACTTATTTAGTCTCCTATATTTTAGGGTCAGTCTTGATTATGCAACCAGGCTCTGTCCCACAATCAGCTGCATAATCCTTCATAGGCAGTTGAGCTGTTGGTGCTTCTATTTCTTTAGCAAGAATAATACCTTCCTCACAGGATTGTCATGCTAGTTATAGTAGTATACTTATATTTCACTTCTGGACTTATATGCCATTTATGGAAATGACATATTCCAACAGCACAGCAATTGCATTTGTATAGTGTGATTTAGATGTCATAACTATGAGAAAATATTAGGCATTGTTTCTGAACAATACACAATCTGGATTTAAATTCTCACTATGTGTGTGTTTTTTGGGAGATGGGTACATCATAGAGTAAGATTGGGTCCATGAAAGAGAGAAATTGAAAGAAGGGTAAAATAGAGTAATAAAGACATGATGTGATAGTCATGTGACTGATAGTCATGTCATAAATAGTGACAATGTGACATAAAAGCAAGCAGAGAAGAGACTATTCAAGAGAAGGACCTGTGGACAGAACAGGGAGAGGTGAGGAAGATGCTGGAGAGTCATGAAGAAGAATAAAAAATGATGGTGGGGGAGAATGTCACAAGCAGCTTGGTACTTGGAATGCTCATTTAAAATTACAAACAGAAATTGCTCAGTGGTAGAGCCCTAGCTAGCAAGTGGAAAGCCCTCAGTCCCCAGTACTGGCCAAACTATGGATGCTTTAGAAATCAGAATTTAATAAAGTAACAATTTGCTGCCATATTTGTCCTAATTATTCTCAGCAACACAAAAATGGTTATAGTCAGTAATTTACTTATTGCTTAGCGCTCTTTTAAATGTTAAGTCTAGACTTCAGAGTTTTAAATGATAAATTATTAACAAAACTGACACACACATGTATATATGGTTTAAATTGCCATTTCACTTGATGTTTAACCTCACCCATTTATTGTCTGTGGCAAGTCTATAAAATGACTCGACTGAATTAGTAAAAACTGAGCTACTGTCTGTGGAGAAGATACTGACTTTCAGCTTTAACATTATTGTTGACTCATCAACAATATGTGTTTTTATTTTAAATACAATATGTGTTCTTCATTTTAAACGTGATACCTCATTAGTTGATCAACCTCAAGCTCACAACAAACTACACCATAGCTCATGTCTGAACAAAAGCTTGTCTAGTACATGTTTTCTGTATAAAGCAAATCACAGTCCCCTTGTTCTAAAGGCCACTAGATAGCTCTTAAACACTATACTTAGAGGAAATGTAAATGAGTTTGATCATCAAGGAAAAGCAGAAAATGTAAAATATGTACCGTTGAACAGACTGCAACAAGTGCACTTGTTTTTTTAGTATAGAAGCCTAAATAAGGCAGGGGTAGTGTTGGCTGGAGACTTGGACATTGGGAACTTAGAGCTTTCACTGCTATTTATGTGAGCAGGTTCACGAATGACTGCAGAGGAACTGAATGGCTGATTTGGAAGTTACAAATAGATTGTCAGTAAAGCAGATGTATTCACAGATATGCACTTTGTGAACCATGTGGTTTGGCCTCGATGGTTTGTGCTAGTTTCATGGTAGTGTTGCCTCATGAAGAGAATGATTTTTTGGAGTGCAGATTTCTGAGAACAGTTCTTATGTATTTTTTTTAGAACCAAGACCAGACCCAGAATTTTTAGTCTTACCTCTCCTTCCCATGGACCATGTGGCTATTTCCATTCCTGGATGTGGTATGGTCTCGGATGCCTTTGAGCCCTTCTCTGTGGAGTTCCTTCTTTTCTTTCTTTGATAGGACAGAGTAGATCATCTCAGTTCACCAGGTCTGGCATCACAAAGTCTGTGTGGGAAATTCAGCTCAGCTATTCACAGATCATGTTACCCAGTAAAGGTCCTAGAACATATGTGGCTGCAGGTTGTTCTTATTTACGATCATAACAGTATTCTTTACCTCAGAACATATAATTAAGTATCTATGCAGATCACTCCATATAATATCTGACATATATATGTCCCATGTATGCCTCTGCCTGTCCTCATTTGTCATCTCAGCTTCTATACTACCATTGTTGGTTCCCCAGCACAACTGATGAATCCCTCAACATGGCCCCAAATTGCTTTTGTCTGTGACTGTTAACACTGAAGGAACTGCACTGCTGACAAGGTTATGCCTTTGCTCATATGTGAGCTTCCTAGGGGAAGAGACAGGAAGATGTATTCTTATTTACAACCACATCAATATTCTTTATTTCATAACATATGAAAAAGTATCTATGCATGTCACTCCATACAACATGTGACATGCAGACTCCTAGTACATGCCTCTCCCTGCCTGGATTCCTCCTCAGTCTATATCAGCTTCCATGATAACATCTAAAGAAGATTTACAGTGTTTGTCTAGTCCCCATCAAGGTGCCAGTTGCACAGAAGATGTTCAGTGTTATTTGCTGAGTACGTGTTTTGATTAGCACACATATATGTAATTTTAAATCATAACAAATTGATGACGTTTATGGTAAGGAAGAAATCTGGGCAAATGAAAAATATCAGTCCCTTTATGAATTCAAACCAGTGACACAGTGCAATGGACTCCCTTAAAGTTAATCATAGACAACAAATCAGATGTCCTATACCTTAATGCTGCACTGTGCAATTTCTTAAAGTCTCTTATGATTGTCTCAGAAATCTGCTACTTTTGTGGACCCCCCCCCTCATAATGTCATGGAAGATCCAGGGTATGTGTGATGTTTTCTAGGCTTCCCACTCATTAGGGTGGTGCCTGTCAAACACTTGAGAATGTTCACCCCAAACCCTAGAAAACATTAACATGCTACCACCCCCTAATAAAGGCAAAGAGTATATATTTTGCTAAGTATTTTACTCCCTTTTCTAGAATAAGGCTTCCTAGTTACTAGATAAATGGATGTTATTCAGGTAAAAAGTTTTCACTTGTTAGAGTATAATTTGGAGTATTGTACTGAAGTAAGAGCCTCTAAACTCATCTTTTCTCAGGTATAATATGGCTAATATCATCTGTTCAAAAGAATTCCCCAAGACTCACTTTCTGGAGACCATCAGAGCAGATATGATATGCTGGGGGTGGAAGTGTCTATTTTTAGCAGGGTTTGTGGTGACTTTGGCAAATATGACCACTCTAGACCCTGAGAATTGCACTATCAAACAGTGCCCCAACAACTGAATTAAGGATAGATACAGTTATGATATGTGGCTTTGAGTGAGATATACAAGATTAATTCCCAGAAAGGTTCATGCATAATATTTAACATTCCAACTAATCAGACCTATCAACAATGCTGTACTCTGTCCTAGCTTCCTTTCTGTTGTTGTGATAACATGGCCTGATAGAAATCAAGCAAAGGAAGGGAGTTATAGTCTGTCATTGCAGGGAAGTCCAGAAATAAACTCAAAGCAACTGTTCACATTGCATCCAATAGCAGAAAGAATAATTTCATACAGGCATAGGGCTTAGCCAACTTTCTATGTCTTACACTGTGTAGGGAAATAATGTCACCCACTTTCAGGCTGAGTTTTCTCACATTGACAGAAGCAATTAGGACAATCCTGTACAGACATGGTCATAGGACAACCTGATCAAGACAATTGCTCATTGAGACTCTCTTCTTAGGTGACTCTAGGTTCTGTTAAGTTGATGATTAAAACTAACCTCCCCTACATCCAGAACATGAGCTGTGCAGTGATACCTGAGCAAATGTGTGATGTGAATGTCTCTTGCTTCTGTTAAGAACAAGGGGTTTCATTTAACTTCTCTTCTATCCTCAGTTTTAACTCTCTTCCTGATAGAGGAGAGACTTGGCAAGGTCATGTGTGGTTCTTGCTTTCCTCTTATGTCCCTGCTCTCTAGCAAGTAAGAAGCAAAATGAAAAGAATCCATGTCTTTTCTAGTGATGCTCTGTGAGTGGCTTCTGTGCCAGTTGCAGGAAATCCTGAAGTTTCTTAAAGAGAAGTTTGACTTTTCTTATTTGTTTTCAGGTTCTTCTGTAAGACCTGCTTCTAAAATGCCTATTATTCTTTTTACTTAACATTTCTCATTCCATTTTAACAATGTGCCTGACCTCATATCCTTCCACAACTTGGCAGAGGTGGCTTGCTCATTTTCTTTGCATCATTTCTTAGTAGCCCAATTCCCTTACTTTCTTTCATTCTTCAAAGAGATGGTCTGATAGGATTTTGAGCCTATAAACTCAAGCTAGAGAATGTTATATAAACTTCTAAACACTCAAAGCTTTCTAGCCTAGACTTTTCATCACTTCCCAGAGAGAACACCTGCTGAACATTTTGTGGAGACTCTGCTATGGTAGATTAGTGCCTTTGTGTTCCCACTAAAATTATTCTCGGTGTGCATATCCATAGAAGGAAACTATTTAGGGACATTTCACAACACTTCTATCTGGAAAATGGGGTAAGCCATTCATTTGGCTTACTGATTAGCAGAGTTATAAATTACAGCATTAGAATGGTGCTATAAATAATAACAGGGGTTACCTCTATATAGGGTGTTGTCTTCTCTCTTTGAGCTTTCATGATACTACCTGAGAATCACATGATTTAGTGTGATGCATGAGGCAATGGTAAGACAGTCGCAAGTCTGGATTCCCTCCTTTGCTTCCTTAGAAATCAGTGGGGTGACCAAGAGGAACAATTTCGGTAACAAGTTGTAAAGGAACATGCATCTTAACAGTTATTTTTTTTCTATCTCTATACTGCTGAGAATCAAGTGGTATATGAATAATGGTTTGCTTTAAACTGAAGAGTTATTAAGGGCTTTAACTATAATTAGAGCAATACTGCCATTTCTATTTGTTTCATCCAATGGGGAAATGAGTTTAGAAAGAACCAACAACAAAGCCATCAGGTGTGGGTACAAAAGCCTGAGTGAGATAATTAGTTTCCTAGTTTTCTTTCCTTTTGTCCCACGGTTTTTTAAATTAATTAACTAATTTAGTTTGTGCCAGGATCTCATGTAGCTCAGGATTTCCTTCAATTCACAATGTAGCTGAGTCTCCTGATTTTTCTACCGGAGTGGGGCATTAAATGTTTATGCTGTTAGGTCCTGTCTTAGTGTTTTATTGCTGTAAAAAAGACACCATGATCAAGACAACTCTTAAAAAGAAAAACATCGAACTAGGGGCTTGCTTATCCTTTCAGAGAGTTAATTCATTGTCACAGAAGGGAGAATGGAGGCAGGCTGTAAGGCATGGTGCTGGACAAGTAGTTGAAAGCTACATCTTGGTCTGTAACCAGAGAGAGGGGATAGGAAAGGGAGTAAGGAAGAGAAGAGGGAGGAGGGAGGTGGGGAGGGGGCAAGAGAGAAGGACAGGGACAGGTAGAAGGAAGACTGAGATTAGGCCTGGCTTGTTATCCCCAGTGACACACCTACTCCAATAAGGCCACACCTCCTAACCCCTCTCAACAGTGAACCAAGTGAAAACCAAGCAAGCATTTGAATATATGAGCCTCTGAGGGCCACTGCCATTCAAACCACTACAGGTTCCAAATCATCAAATGACAATCCAGGGTCAGCTCAGGCTGAACACCAACCAGGTAGGCAGAATTGTTCCTTAAGGTCAGCACTCCCCCAAAACCTTGTAAAGTGGGTTTCTGTTTGTCAGGAAAATCCATTACTTCCACCCCTTTCCACCCACTCACTCAGGAAATAGCATCTGGCTCCCTATTAACTCAAACAAACCTGCCACAGACCAGAGCCCCCATACTAGTTCCTAGGCAGCTCCAGATAACTCACCTTCTTCTTGCTGCAACTTAACTCTTTATAACTGCCAAGATTCTCCATACCAGTTTTGCTCCTCTCTGCTTCCTGAGAGATAGCCTTGGCAGCTGGAATAAACTTTTCTACCCAAAGAATGGCCTAGTTTGGTCGTTTTCACCTTGCTTTTGCTTATAAATACCAATATACTTGGCATGTGCCACTTTGATATTAAATTTAAATTTTATTGCATTTACTTGTTTGTTTATATACATATGCTTCTCTGTATGATACATACATGTGTTATATATGTAAGTATAGGTGTTATATGTGTACATGTAACAGGAAGTCCCAAGAGAACATTACTTAGATACAATCTATAACTAATTGAAAGTCTTTATTCCAGCTGTTTGGGTCTACACTTAATTGCTCAGGATCCAAGCATAGCCCAGAGCATTTAGAGCAAAGCATAAACCACACCCTGTTATCTTGTTGCAGAACTTCAGGAGGAGGTTTTACATAAGCAAGAAGTTTAACAGAAGCCAAGGTAAGTTAGCTGGGATATATCGACCTTAGTTTACTAGAATAGAATTCAGTAGGTCAAATTCTATTTAAACCCAAACCTAAAATGGCTTCAGCAAAAATACTACATGGAGGAACCTCTGCACTGTCTTTTCCTGCCATACACAGAGACTAGGGAAGTGTCAGGTGTCCTGTTCTATCACTCTCTACCTTACTCCCTTGGAGACAGGATCTCTTTTAGAAGATGGAACTAGACTGTATTTGTCCATCCCCAGGAGTCTGGGATTACAGGGGTATGCACAATCATATCTGGTCCTATGTGGGGATAGAGTTGGGTGGAGAATTTGCACTTGGGTCTTCATACTTGCATAGTAAGCACTCTTATCTACTTGCTCTATCCTTAGCTGTCCTTTTGAAAAATTATTATTTTAAACTAGTATACAAAGTGATGGATTTCATTATGACAACATCATACAGATGTCAGTATTGTTTTCTTCTTCAATCACAGACTGTCTGGAATCATTTAAACAATATTTCATAGCCCACATACCAGTCAATAGGTATGTGAAATTTTGATTCAAGGTCAAACATCACATTTTCCATTCCTGACAATTGGCAGTGTTCTAAAATGTCTTAGAACACCAAAGAAAGAGCTCTCCACACTTTTTAAATGGAAGAGTTTTTTGACAAATGAAAACCACAGGCTCTTTTTCTTAGGCTTTCCCATTACAGTGAACAAGAACTAATTAAGCTTTGCCTATACTCTGGCCAGCACGCCAGCTTCCAGCTCATTAGTGAGAACTTGAAGTTTGTGGTGCCTGTTGTTGCAGAAGCTGAATTATAAACATTTCTTCACACTGATACAAACGTTCTCTGAATGAAAGGAATACTTTATTATGTTTAAGTTATCTGTGCAAACAATATGGTTTATGAGGAACACCTGCTTTCCTTTAAGAGATCTGGAACTTTGATACATGCCAGGCAGAGGGTCCCCAATCTAAAAACTCAACCAATGTGGGCATTGTATCTCTAATGAGCTTTGCTGGTGGATCGCATTTCACGCTTGATAGCACAGCTCCTTGCTGCAGAGTCAACCTGCCATCTGTGTCCTCAATGGGAGAGAACTAACTCCAGGAACTTTGAGTCTATGAACTTCAGCACTTCACCCAAGCATACCTTTCCCTTTGTGCCTTTTTTCCATTTCTGTGGTAAATCACAGAAAGTACAGCAAGTACAGTTCTATTAGTGCAACTTCTAGAAGCTTACCACACCTGGGGTGGCCTGGAGGATGCAGTGGGAAAATGTTTTTCTTCAGACTTGGTTTGCCCTTTATCTTCAGTAGGTAGAGAAGACATAGATCTCCCCCACCCTTTCACATAAATATGCATAGACACTCACTCCAAAATCTTCCCTTTGTCCTCAGCATTCAGGAATCGTGAAAGGACTCTTGGTGAGAATTTATTTTCACCCCTCTGCTGGTATCTAAGAGTCCTTTGAGTCTAGGAGGGTCTGCCATTAATTCACAGAAAATACACAAAAATTTGTTTTCTGCTTTCTTTGTTCTCTACCTGGATTTGCTTTGTGGGAGTAGTAGGCTTCTTAATCTACTTGCCTTTTTATTTCCTTTTGTCCTTTTTGACATTTTCTGTCTTTGTCTAATTTCATACAAACCCTTTTGATTTCATCTTTTAAATACTCTGTCACATTTATCTATTCTCTAATGTCCCCATTTTTGGTAAGAAGAGCTCTTCTTTGTTTTTTGGGTATATCTTTTTAAGGCATATTATTCTGACTTCTTTTTCCTGTGAGGTCACTGGTGATGGTTATTCTGAGATTGTCCCTCTTTCCACAAGGTGTATTGTGACTACATGATTCTTTAGTTCTTTACAGACTTTGCTGGTGTTTACTAAACTTGTCTGACAGCTCTGGCGCTGCCCACGGTACTAAACTCGGGTATAGGCCTGGGGGATTAAAGAAATACTCAGACTCGCGTCATCCCTTGTGAGAGAATGCCAAAACTTTTACTGAGCAGGTTCAATATATATACCAAGCCAGGGAAGGAAAAATACAAACTCAGGAAAAAACAGGAACTCA